CAGACTGGCCTGCAGGGAGGGGGGGGGGGGATGGTGGTGATCTTGGGTTGCTTTTTAATTCAAAAAGTGATCTACCCAAACAGGTTGGAGACTACTGCATTATACAGTGAAGTGAATGTGTATTCAGCATCACACAGTTAGAAAGATGAAGGACACTTTTAAGATTTGTGCTGTTTCTGCTGTTGCTCTCTGGGGTTGCTTACAAATTGAATTATCCTATTTACATTTTTTTAGAAGTAAAAACTTTTTTCCTACAGGATTTGAATCTGCTATAGGGCTAGATTCATGTACCAAGTGAGCTGGGAGTTTTGACACCCCTAGTCCTAGTATCTGAGGTATCTTTTCTAAGTCCTTCTCACAAGTGCAGTGCCATTATCTGTAATATGCAAAGAAGCATTTTCAAATTAAAGACAAACAGAAACTGCTTAGCATTGTGTCATGAATTTTCACTTTCTATATTAATAGGCTATCAAGCTTCAATCTAATTTATTGTTAATTGTTAATACACAGACCAAAAATATGGTGTAAAATTGGTGTGTGTGTGTGTGTGTGTATATATGTCTGCTGAAGAGAAATTATACATTTCCATTTATTGTAATACATATTCCATATCCAGAAATATCCTTAGTCTTCTTTCTTTAATAGATTTGGACAGCCTTAAATCTAAAGATTTTTCTTGAAAATTGTCAGTAGGCTTCTGATTATTGGCAGTTGATCATACAAATTGTATTATGACATGCTCCTCCTGGATGTAATTCTCTGCAAGTCTGACAAGGATTTTTTTTCCCCTAATGCAGAATTTTTGTATAGCTAAAAGCCAACATCAGATTGTTGTCATCAGGAAAATGACCATTTTCTGTGATTTTTTTTGTTTTTGTTTGTTTTAATTTTTTTTGTGCACTCACTTTTGAAGGGGCAATTCATGGTGTATTCAGAAACTGTTTCATTTTTATGCGCAAATGCTAGTTTGCACACTTAAATATCGGATGTTGTTATTAAAATCCACACCCAGTGAGCTCACATCTCTCTTATGCCTTGTATAAGACTTTAAAAATTATTTGATCTTCAGTGCTTATCCTGTATAGATATATATTTTTTAATTGCATTGTATTTTAGAATACTGCGTTTTTATAAAACCTAGATACTACATTAAAAGGCATCTCTAAAAATAGAAGCAAACACTGTAATATATGTAATAGTTGTTATATTCTAACATACTTACTTAATATTGTACATCAGAAGTTGGACACAAACTCTTGTTAGTTGGAGTGTCATAGATAATATTAGTGTTATTTTAAATTATCTGTTCCCCCTCCCCCACCTTGTTACATATATGTAGCTTTTATTAATTTTGTAGAAGTTCTTCATAGAAAAATCTGGTTACTAGAAATGTCATTTCTGTGGGTCTGATCATAGTCTCTATAGAAGCTAGATTATAATTGAATGTAACCTGTGCAAATGCTACCAACATCAAGCCTCTTATGTAAAAACAAGGATGTCACTGTGTAGTTATTTCTTTTAAATACCTAAAGTTAGGGATCAGATTTATAGCCTATTATATCACAGAAGAATTAGCCCCCACATTTGGACTATATCTACTGTCGGTTCATAACTTAATACAGAAGTACTTTTAATATTCCATATATGGTATCAGTTTTTAGTGTTTTGAATTTTTGTTTAACTACATTTTTATGTTTGTCATAAACCATTCAGGATGCTACTGTTGAAGGCACAACATGCAGTAGACCTTCTATTGTCCTTCCAGAGAATGCTGTTACTTCAGAGGTAGAAATTGATAAAAATCTGGTTAACAGGTACTATATAATGTGTTACCAATCTTTGTAGTATATTATTTTAAAGTATTATTTTAAAGTAATTGGCCTTTTGTTTTTTAATCTGTAACCTAAGTTATTTTTGCATGTGCCCTTTTCACATCAGGAGTGGGTAGCGTGGAGAGAGAGTAATTAGTATCAAAAGGGTTTTTTTTTTAATGCGTAGACCCAATTGAGAAAATAATCTCATGAAATTTGGTTAAAATTTGACCTGAATAAAGGCAACAAGATTGAGTACATTTGAGTAATTCTTTAAGAATAAAAAAATTTAAATTTGAACACAAAATTATATTTTAAAAGATATTAAAACTGGATGTTTTGCATAATTTGGGTTCAATTCTGTGACTTCTCTTGAGAGCAGTCTTACCTTATGCAAATAATTGCAGTGTGGCCTCATGAGCAAAGGTTGCTTTGGCCAGTAGGTTTAGGATGGAGTGTGTTGGAAACTAATATCCTTGCTCAATATGGGCGCATCTACACATTGCCCTATGGCAATGTTGTTACTGTGCTGTGTGTCACAGGGCGGGGACCCAGGAGCGGCCATGATCTCTCCTGGCGCCCCCTACCGTGCCAAGTTGGCAATCAAGCACCCTCGTTCTCGCCCGCCACGTCTTTGATGGTTCAAGTATTCTAAGGGAGGCTGCCTTTATCTGTCCCCTTGGACACGGTGCTCTTACTTTTCCTGGCCCCTGTTCTATGTGGATAGATTTTGGTGCACCCAGCCCTATGGGCTATGCGTGGCTCCTACCACCCCTAATACCACGCCCCAAGCCTTTCAGATGTACCGGACATTGTTGAGTCAGTTATTAGTGCCCGCGCCCTCACGGACGCCCTCTGGGCTTATCTTCTACTTCCCTCAATGCGCTCGCCCTCTCCGGGGCTTCCCTCAATGCGCTCGCCCTCTCCGGGGCTTCTCACGCCAGCACCCTCCGGGCTCCCTGCTAGTGCCCACACTGGTGCTCCTCATGATTGGGGCTCAGGTGGCCTTAGCCGTGCCTGGCCCCCAGACCCCCTTCTCAGGTCTATGCTTTCTGTCTGGCTCAGGCGGCCTCAGCCTCACCTGGCCCTAGATCCCAATGGCTGTGCCCTCTCTGGCACCTGACTAGTGTGCCCTCTCTGGGGCTTCTTATTCCTATACGCCCTCCTGGGGCTCAACGCGATACTCTCACCCTCTCTGGGGCTCAACGTGATACTCTCACCTCCCCGGGGCTCTGCTTGCGCTCACGCCCCCACTGGGGCCTTCCCTTGTGATCCCCGCAATTGAGGCTCAGGTGGCCTTAGCCGTGCCTGGCCTCCAGACCCCCTTCTCAGGTCTATGCATCCCACTGGGGCTCAGACCCCCCTTTCCAGGTCCTACGCCCCACTGGGGCTTTGCTCAATTGGACTCAGGCGGCCTCAGCCTTACCTGGCCCTTACTGCACTGGACCCCCTTGTCAGGGTTGGGGTCAGTGCACCTCCTAACTACTGTGCCCTTCTCTGGCACCAGGAACCCCCCCCCACACTACTGGGGAGTCCCTATGAGGCCTCCTCCAACCCTTACAGTCTCACCTGGTCCTCCGGGGTAACAACAAACAAAACCATCAGCCAATCGGCCCCAACTCAAACTCTAGCCTCCTGGCTTAAAATGTAAACCCTAAGCCCTCTGGGTCATCATTATTTCCATCCTTGCCAGGGCTCCTCTGCCTGGTATCCTCACCCATGAGCTGCTCAGGCCACCAGGCTCCTCAACTAGGCCTGCTCCCACAGAGCTCCATCTTCTGCAACTGCCAGAGGGGAACTGCCTGCTTGGCCTCAGCCTAAGTTGTTTATGCAGGCCAGGCCCTGCCCCCTCCTGGTCAGCTGACCCTTGTGGTTGCCCCAGCAACCAACACCTGTCCTTCTCTAGGAGCAGGCACTTCAGTGCACTGCAACACTGTGCTTCAGTATGGTGCAGTAACCACTCATATTGCACCATACGCATGGCTCATGGTTATTTTTAGCAGCTACTTTGCCATAGCAGCGTGCTATAACAGGGGAGTGCGCCACAGTGATGAAGTAGTTGCTGGTCACGTGTAGACACCCACGGACACTACATTGTTGTATCCCAGCCAAGCATCTGCCTGTTCCAATACTTGACTACCCTCAAAGTCGGACACAAACTTTAATAATTTGCTCAGTACGAAAGAAGATAATATGAACAAAATTGGAAGTTAGATTAAATCTGGAAAATATAAGTTATCAAATATATATGCCAAAGAAATCATGAAGAATTTTCAATTATGCATTCATACATTAAATTGAAGGCATATGAATTAAAATAAAAGATCTGAAAAGTTACTAAAACTTAAAAAGCATTTTTAATATAACAGATCCTTGGAAATTCCATGACAAATAAATCCTGCATCTCTCTTACAAATGGTTTGCTTAAACTGGTCCTTTCCATTTTAAATTCTTTGGTGTCCAGACTTTGTTGCATTACCTCAAGGGTGTATTTTGGATTTTCTAGCGTGGGGACCTTTCTTGTTTAGTTTGGAACACCATAGCCTAACACCACATCTGTTTTCAAGCAAAGACAGTGATTTTTTTTTTCTTGTGAGCTCCAATAAATTAAATGTGATTTAGAGCGGTGTTCTAAAAGGAACATGCCAAGCAGGACAGGTGGTGTAATGTTTTTCAGCAATGGATGTGGAAGCAATCAAGTACAAATTTTAGTTGCGAGCACACAAAGAAGCAACAAAGTCTCCCTTTTGCTGAAGAAGGGTGTCTGTACCTGAAAGCTTGCAAAGAACAATTTTTCCAACTATTTAGTTGGTCTAATAAAAGATATTACATTTACCCAAAGAACCTTGTCTGCCAGTTACGTATTGAAACCTCTGATCTGTGTGTTAGAACAAAATTGAGGAAAAATAATCAGAAAAGTATTATTAAAATACAGTGCAAGCTGTTTTATAGAGTTTAACTGAGACAGGCTTCCAACATTTAGTTCTGGATTTGGACTTCTCCAGTGTGCAAGACCTGTTTCAATTCAACATCATGATGAATTGCCCTATTTAGATTAGACTTGGATCCAAGCTTCCTAAAGAGGGTTCAGAGATGGTTTTCTGAGTAGGAATGTCTTTAAATTTGATCCTGAAGGATCCCCCTGTTGCCAGTGATATCATTTTCTGGCAGGTTGACAAATAATGTGGGGATGTTCAGAAATGCTACTTTTAATCATAAAAACTTAGTTTAGAAAAGACTTACTATTATATTAATATAGACAAATATTTTCTGCAATGTGTCACATTTGCATCAGTTTTAGATCATGCTACTGAACTAAAAGGGGCACATTTTTGTAGAAAAATCAAAAGATCATAGTAGGTTTGTGTGTCAGTTTATTTATGAAAGTCAAAACTTCCATTGGTTAGAATGATTTTTACTATACACTGTTTCTGTGATTTTTTTTTTCTCTTGTGTGTTGCAGCAAAATAAACATAGTTTGCAGAGTAAATGCAGCAAATAAACACATTTATGTTAGGCTCCAGCCCATCTCCCATTGAACTTAAAGGGAGTTTTTCTATTGATTTCAATTGGATTGGCCCTTAGTGAAAGGAGACTGGTACTTAAAATGTTTTTAAATAAAGTTGACTTGAAATTTTCAAGTTGTGGAGAGAGAGCTTTTACCTGTTTCACCCCAGATATTAGAAAACATTAAAAATTTATATAATTCTCTTGTCCATAATTTTATATCCAGTCTTATGAGAAAATCAATACAGACCTCATCAGTCTATCATCTTGAGCCTATCTTCATTTTGTTATTTGAGGCAATAGTTAATTAAATATCGAACTGTGATATTTTCAGGGAGTTATTTATTTCCATATTGTGCTTTCCAGAGGACATGCCAGTAGATTAAAAAGCATACAATGTTATAAAAACCTATATGGAGATTATGTTAATATTAATAGATGTATATGATCATTACATTTCAATTTTTCCTTGTTGCTTACTGCCATGTTTTATTTTGATGTTTTCCCCCAGACCTCATAGTCCTCATCTAAGACATTCTAATCGACACACTAAGAGTTCAGTTAGCTCATTGACGTCCGTTGGTAAGAAATACTTCAGTATATGTATTTTAACTATAGGTGTTTACATGAAACAAAAAGTGACTCGTGCAAGTAAATTGTAAAGAGAGAGAGAGAGGTCCTCCACTGGCTTGACAAAGTCCTTTGACTTCAACTAATTTGGCACCAGCTAAGGATATGGCCTGGGGAAATTAGAATGACTGTATACCCTGCACGTCCTTACCCAATCCACTGTACACAGTGAATATCGTGTATACCTAGGAAGTATTGAGGATGTGGTAGAGTGAATTATTATCTTAAGAATGCATACAGGAATAGACCAAGTTAAATGCACCTATATCCTCACCCCTCAAATCTATAGTAATAAAAGCTGAAAAATCTAACTTTGTTTACAAGGCTAGAGAGGGCCTGCTTGAAAATGGTTGCATGCATAATACTGTCTAGTTGTCAGACCTACAAAATGTAAAATAGATTAAGAAATTTCATCAGCGGATGTCATTCAAAACATTCAGTTGAAATATGATAGTATTTGGTTAGACATTTAAACAAAAACTGCCTCTGCTCACAATGCATACTACTTTATAAATGGTGCCATATACTCTATAAATTCCATATACTTACTGCAGAATAATGTTTTACTCGATGAAAATAATAGTGATGAAATTTGGTCCTTATGCTATGTTTATGCCAAAGTCTGGGGGTGAAAGCACTTGAAGCTAGTGGCAAAATTCCCACTGCCTTAATGTGCAAGATTTCAGCATGGGATGGTTTGTGTCTAAATTATTGCTTTAAACTTGTCTCTATTAACAACATTTTTGTTTGCAAGTGCAAAGTACAGAGAGTTTACCGGCCTGAATACAGTAAAGTAAAAAAAATAAATAAATTTAGACTTGTGGTACTACACAAACTACAGATAAAATACCTGCAGAAATCTTTTCCCAAATACTTAGCAGAGAAAACAATTCACATAAAATTAAGTTACATAATGAAGTACTATGAGGTGTTTCTTTCCAACTGTATTTTTATTGGCAAAACTTTAGTTTGATTAGTTCAGTTAATTTTATAGGTTAGCTTAAAATAATGAATACATTAACCTTGTTAGATTAAAAAAAGTCACCAACTTATTTAAATAATTTGTTTTTAAAATATGGAATTGTTTTAAAAATATAGCATTTAATATATGATAAAGAGGGACTCTGTGCGTGAAGTCAGAAGTAGTCATATTTCTGAAAACAAGTGACAAATGGCACTACTGGGATTAAACTGTAAAATACCAAAAGATCTTTATGGACTAGAAAACGGTTGTAACGAGGGCTGTAAATTAATCACCATTAACATGCGCAATTAACACATTAATTGGTTCTTGCGTTAAATATTTTAATGCATTAATTGCATACATGGTTTTGGAGCTGGCACCCGGGCTCTGCTCCACTGTCACCACTGCTACCTCTGGGTCACCCAGTGGGGCAGCGGTGGCAATGCAGAAGACTACAAGTCAGCTCGGGCACAGGCTCTGGGCTGCTGCAGCAAGAAGGCAGGAGCGGGGGGGACACATACACACAGACATGAGCAGCCACAGCATGCACACAGCCAGGAATGCAGCCCGGTGGCTTGTAGAGAAGCACCTAGCAGGTAAGTCTGTGGAGAGGAAGGGGTGGGAGGGGAGGGATGGGGGCACAGATCAAGGCCCCATGGTGAGGGAGGGAATGGGGCAGGAGGGCAGGTGCTGGCTGGGGTGAGTGGGGTCCTGGGGCTTGGGCAGGTCATAGGGCAGAGCTGTGGGAGGCTCATCCAGGAGCACAGGGGGGGCATGGCTCCCCACCACTGCACACACCCCTGTAGGAGGCATGGAGGGCACGTGCCCCCTGGATTTATGCACAGGGCAGAGGTGGGCTGCCCACTGTGAGCTGGGGCTCTGCACCTTGCTGCCTTTGCCCTGGGAGCTACATGATGGCTGCACCATGCATCCCCTGCCTCTCCAGCAGTGGGAGGCACAACATGGCATCGTGCAGTTCCTGGGGCAAAGACAGCAAGGTGCAGAGCCCCAGTCCACAGGGGGCAGCCGTCCTCTGCCCGTGCACAGATCTAGGGGCCACATGCCTCCCGAGGCATGCATCAGCAGGGATCCACCGCCCCTCCCCCCCACCCCGCGTTCCTGGATGAG